CCAGTATATGGGAATATATGCGGCAATCTGTGCAGCACAGGCTTTGGCGCTGTACGGCTTCGCACTACATGTAACCATTGCCGCAGCTGTCTCTAGCAAGACAATGCTGCACCGCGCAATGTACCGAGTCCTGCGAGCCCCGATGGCCTTCTTTGACACGACCCCGTTAGGACGGATCACAAACCGGTTTTCTAGGGACGTTCAGGTGATGGACAGCGAACTTGGCGAGTCTATTCGCATGTTTGCCTTTACGTTCACGCAAATCCTTGCCACGATGGGGTTGATCATCGCATTTTATCATTATGTGAGTACCATAGGGTGAGATGGGTAGAATGAAGTTGCTAACTACCGTGGCCAGTTTGCTATCGCATTAGGTCCCCTGTTCGTCTTGTTCGTACTCGCAGCGATCTACTATAGAGCTTCCGCGCGGAATCTGAAGCGGCATGATTCAGTACTTCGGTCGGCGGTCTTTTCACGTTTTGGCGAGGCCATCACCGGTGTCGCAAGCATCCAAGCGTATAAAATGGAAGGATACTTCCAGCGGAATCTGCATGAAAGCATCGACTCAATGAACGGTGCATATTTCCTGACGTTCTCCAACCAGAGATGGCTCTCGATTCGCCTTGACGCTATCGGTAGTCTAATGATCCTGGTCGTGGGAATCCTAGTCGTCACGTCTCGTTTCAACGTCGGGCCAAGTATCTCCGGTTTGGTACTGTCGTACGTTTTGAACATCACTTTAAGCTTGCAATTCACCATTCGACAGTTCGCTGAAGTTGGGAACAATATGAATGCCGCTGAGCGGATCCATCACTATGGCACCAGCTTGGACCAGGAAGCGCCTCTTCAGTTGGCCGAGGTACCACCGAGCTGGCCCGAAAAGGGGAGGATTACGTTCTCGAATGTGCAAATGCGGTACCGTGACGGGCTGCCTCTGGTACTCAAGGGACTCACCATGGACGTTCGAGGCGGTGAACGTATTGGCATTGTTGGGAGAACAGGCGCCGGCAAATCCAGCATCATGGCCGCTTTATTCCGCCTCACCGAGCTTTCCGGGGGAAGTATCAAGATCGATGACATTGATATTGCCACGGTTGGTCTGCGTGATCTTCGGACTCGTCTTGCTATTATCCCGCAGGATCCGACGCTCTTCCGCGGCACAATCCGCTCGAACCTGGATCCTTTCAATGAGCATACGGATCTGGAGTTATGGGCAGCGTTACGCAAGGCACATCTCGTCGGCCAGGAGCTGCCAGAGGACGACTCCCAGGACGGCACTCTTACGCCATCATCGATGAACGAAAAGCAGCAGACAGTGCAGCGACTGCACCTTGACACCATCGTCGAAGAGGAGGGACATAACTTCTCACTCGGCCAACGGCAGCTAATGGCTCTGGCGCGTGCTCTCGTTCGCGATGCTCGCATCATCATTTGTGACGAGGCAACATCATCCGTTGACTTTGAGACGGACCAGAAAGTGCAGGAGACGATGGCGCAGGGGTTCCAAGGCAAGACCCTACTTTGCATTGCTCATCGTCTAAGGACAATCATCAATTATGATCGCATCTGTGTGATGGATCAAGGGCAGATCGCCGAATTCGACACCCCTCTGGCGCTGTGGGAGAAGCCCTGCGGCATCTTCCGCAGTATGTGTGATCAGAGCGGAATCACCCGGGAGGATTTTGAGGGTTGATGTGATCCGTTCGAGTATATACTTTGATAATATTCATAATATTATAGACGTTGTGAACTTTGCCTTGTCGAGATCGTTTAGATGAAGCTCCTACTCAGCAACACATTGCTTGACTCTTTCCCCCAGGAGAATGACAGGTGAGTGGTGGCGCTATTAGCTCTTCTGCCTGACATTGAAGCAACTCATTCTTGTCGACTTTGATAGATACTCGCAAATACCATCACTACACAGGTGGATCCCTAAACTACCTCCTGCTCTCAAATACTGATCATTGTTATCTTTTGTACATCACCTGACCAGAGGTGGGACTCTATTTAGTCTAGTTTGCCCTTTACGCCTAGGCGTAAAGCTAACAGGGGTACGGAAGCCCCTCCCTTTTGTTTCAAACAGTTTCGATTTCTACACCGTAGACAACATAATAATCAATTACTTTCTCACGAGCTATCAGATCCAGTCATATTGGCCTGCCGGGATCCCAGCGACCCTCCGTCTTCACCCAACCAGGTGACGCCCGGCAGACCTTCAAGAAAAGACCAAGGGATGGATGCGATTCATAAGAGTATGAATGCGTGTCATTATCCATTATCATTGACTCACTTATACACATCGCTACGAAGAATGGCGCCTTCTGGTCGAGAAATGGGCAGCAGCCAGCCAGGACCTTCGAGACGTCAGTGCGTGAACTGCCACTCAAAATCTGAATGGATTAACACATCGCAGTCCAACAGGCTTCGCCCCCCATCGCCATCATCAGAGTTAGGCTACCCACCTTCTGCCCTGACACAACCCCAACTCGACAAGCGACTCGTATGTCTCGCTCCAGTAGACCGCCAAACGCATCCACGCAATTACACGCGTCTACTAAATTTGTGATCCTGTTGTACCTCTACTAGGGACGAGTGGAACACTGAAATGAGCAGGTATCAGAAAGGAATGTCACTCATGTAAGCAAATTGCTAATATCTATACATGCTCTTTATATTCCACAACTTTTAATGAAGGACAGTGAGGGTCATCATCCGAGTCTGACTTTGTCTATCCACGATATACACCCATTCTCGCTTGCACCGACTCAGTATAACTACTCATCCGCTACTCTATACGACACTTGGACCTCTGCAACGGCTCTCTGGCGGATAGATATCTCTGCGCAACTCAAGAATAAAAATCATTAGCTGGAAGAACAGGCAGTAGCAAAGCTCAACCTAGCTCTGTAAGATCAGAGTACTGACCTGCGGGAACATGGTAGGTACCCAGGCCAGCCTCGAGAAGTCGGGGGTTATACTCGGTATTCGTTGGTGTCAGCGTCCATGGGACCATGGCTCGAGAGTGATGTCGATCTATGACGATCTAGGGTCACTTTCTTTCTTTCTATTTCACTCTGGTAAACCAAGCAAGCACTCACCTTGTAGAAACTGTCTATTGCGGTTTTTGAAATAATTCCACAGTAGAAGAAGGGATGCAGGGCCAGTAACAAGTAGAGTGACAAGTGCAATGATAGCCTCCACTGACCAGCGCATTCTTTGACCTATTGATTATCATAGAAGACAGACAGGCTGGAGTTGTCGATTGTGACCAGAAGGTACGCCATGCTGAGATGACAGGAAAGAGCCTTTTATCTCTTTTCTTCCTCCATAGTAAATGGCGTGAAGCATTGAGTAGATGCCAATCAATCTCGAGGTGAACGACCTATTGCTGATATGGTAAACACCAATCAGATCCAAGCTTAGAACCTTTTACATACAGCATGCACGGAGAGTTCCATGCAAAGGTTGATCAATCCAGCCATATTCTGGTGCGGACCAATAACACCTGAGCGTTCTCAACTCCCTAATTGCAAACGCGGCGAACTTTGGTAGCTACCTACCTGACGGTCGGTGGTCGGCTCCAGATGTTCCTGTATTCATCTCCCACTAATCTAAAAAGGTGTCCAGACAACCATCTCCTAGCTAGTAGGGACGAGTGAGAGTCATCAACACAGCAGTGACACGACAATTTCCGTACCCCGACTATGCGTTCGAGGCCATATCTTATGATAAGTACCCTCAACATGGTGTATCCTTAAGAATATATATTATTTAGTATCCATATCTTATAATTTTTATTGAAAAGAATAGTAAAAGTAGATTCTTTCGGTACATATCTCCATATACCCACCCTTTTTGAAAGATTATTCCTAGGAATTAAGACAAAAAAAGTACCATAAGAATGTTACGTATAGGGGATTATAGAGGAGTATTGGCGACTGAAAAATATCTAAGAAAATCTGAAATAAAATTTAATTCCTTCTAAATCTACCAGATTTTAAAGTAGAGTATGAGTTGAGGCTGTACTGCATGCCTAGGTCATTCTAGACTTAACCTGCTGCCCTTTAGGCCGCATTTCCACCTGTACCTTCCAATGGCGCAAGATGATCTCTTTCCTTCCAAATTTGAAGATCACTTGCAATCATTCTGAAGCTCTACAGGCGTCGCGTGCCCGGTGTACAATGTTGGCAAAGCAAAGCATATTTCCAGAACCGCGATGCTGGGATTCAGAGCTGCAACTGCTCTCAACTAAGAAACCTGTATCCAATCCCACGCAAGGCTTGCAATGTATCAGGTTTGTCCCAGAGTATCGCTACCCTTGTGTTGCCTAGAGATAATTTCGGCAACCCACGGGTTTGTCACGAAAGAGGCGAAGGGAAGCATTGAGGCGCAAGGTACGGTAACTTACCTTTGTAGGGTGGAGGATTACCAGAATTGCGGTCTGCTGGTGAGCCTGGGGAAAAAAAAGAAAAAATAATGGAATGAAATGGAATGAAATGGAATGAAATGTAATGAAATGAAATGAAATGAAATGAAATGAAATGAGATGAGATAAAAAAATAAAAACAAACAAATAAATAAAAGAAAAGAATGAAAAACTCAGATGTGTAATGCCCCGTGTCAGGGATCACGTTTAGTCTGGCGCGACGTTGCCTGCTGTCATTTGTCCAGACCAGAATTCACACAGCCCAAGCCATCATCTATTTGACAAGGCTGTGAGCCTCCAGAAACAGAAATTGTACCTTCTGGCACGATCCAATGAGAATTCAGCAAGGAAATTCTTCCCTTTCGTATGGCGCTGTCTACACCCATGGAGATGGGGAATATAAACGAGCCATGGACAGCCCCCTTCGAAGAAAAAAGAGTCATCAAACAAGCAACGGCAAAAAGAACTCACGGCTCGAACCAAGGAAGAAGAGACCAAATGGCAGAGTCACCGCGACGAGCTCAAGGCCTTGTGGCTGGATCAGCGATGGACTCTAGAGCAGATCCAAGAGCATATGTCCCAAAAGCACAGTTTCCGCAAAAGGTCAGTTGGTAATACCACTGAAAGCTGTTCAGCCCTGACTGAGAGGACGTCTCAGCGCACCACAGTATACCCGACAGTTCAAGAAGTGGGGATTCAAAAAGAACTTGACCGATGAAGACTGGAAATTCGTTGCGCGTCGTCGCGCGAAGCGGAAAAGAGACGGAAAAGACCCGGGCGAGGTCAGGGTGCACAGCAACCTCATTCCTGAATCAAAGGTCAGAAAGGAAACAGCGCGTCATGTTTCGTTATTGTCGCAGTGTCTGTGGATGGGAGACCCTGGTGTGTATCTATATATGGCTCCTCTCACTATCTGCTTCCCATCCACCTCATCGATATGCTGACCTGTTCATCATCTCAGACCCCAAGACCCCTGAAGGGGTTGTTGTGGGTACGCCCCGAGCAGAAATCGACGGTACTGCGCCCCAGGATTCCGCGAACGTCCTTGCGATGGACTGCTGCCAACAGGGTGTGAGCGTGGATGGTATCAATGCTGGAACTCCAGCAATGTTCCAATCCACCGATCGGGACCCTCTCGCCTTCCACATTGAGCTCCCGGACCTGGGTTATTCACAGTTTTCTTTCCAAGGGAATGAGGAACCCACCGCAACTCTTTCCTATCTCGGGGATGCCACCTTGGAACATCATCTGCCTCTAACGTCTGCTAGGACATCAACATCTACAAATGCAAGCACACATACTCGCTACGACGTTGATTCCATCAGCAAGGCCATTGAAAAAGAGACCCGCCGGGTACTCTTATTGCAAGTAGGTCCGTACAGCGCTTCTGATTCCGACGATCTAACCTCAGTCCTGTTGGAGCCTATCACCGTAGGGGATGCAAGTCGCAATTTGACAAGACGAACAAAGGCTATATTTCAATCGGCCTCCCCGGAGAATTTCTCTCAATATCTCAGTCTCTGCGTCTACCTGTCATCCAATAATATGATGAATGAGGTATCAACGGACACTCTGGTATCTCTTATCAAGAAAAGCGGCTCTCAGTCAAAACTTAGAGCCCTCCTGAAATCAACGACCACGGCAATCGAGATATTCATGAGCAACCTATCAGCTAGTGCGGCAGCCGTGGGAGACATTGAGATCTGTCGAATCCTTCTCGAGGCTGGAGCCGACCTAGATGCACCTAGTGGGCCGACAGGCATGCGAACAACGGCTCTTCACCGAGCATCCGAGAACAATGACGCGGAGTGTGCAAGGATGCTGCTGGAAGCCGGTGCAGACCCCAATTTAGCAGTGGAGGGGGAGACACCACTACACACTGCATGCTATAACTCCGAAGCACTTGATATTGTGAACCTTTTGCTCCAATTTGGTGCTTATGTTAATCCGCCGCAAGCCTGTGCCCGACTCACGCCTCTGCAACTTGCTGTCAAGAATGGGGAGCCAAACTTGGTGCAACTCCTTCTTGATAACAAAGCCAACCCGAACTCTTTTACAACCTCTAAGAGAGGCACACCTCTACAAATGGCATGCCGTAACTCTGCCAATGCCGAAATAGTCGAGCTTTTAGTCGCTGCAGGCGCGAACATTGATTCTCGCTCAATTTACCGATATGATAATCGAACCTTCGATTATCTTGGGGACGGCGATGCAGACTCCGATTTAGAAGACGAATCATGCTGGTGCATTGAGGATTGTATTTGTGTTCCCGATTCCTGTAAGCCAGCCATCCTTATAGCGGCGGAAAACGAGAATTGGGAGGTGGTCCAGATTCTGTTGGAGGAAGAAGCTGCTGTTAACGCCAGCTTGAAGAAATGCCCACCTAAAGTCCTAGATCACGAACTTGAAAGACACAGCCGGAGCTTTGGTAGTATCCCGGCCGTATTTACACCGTTGCAAGCAGTGGTCCGGGCAGAGAATATCACCATGACTCGCATGCTTTTGAGCGCGGGAGCTCATATCGACGAGAGGCCGGAAGGAAAGTATGGCCACACCGCGCTCCAGATATCTGCCATGGTCGGGAATAAAAGGATCACTGAAATTCTTTTGCGGAAAGGAGCGGACGTCAATGCCCCAGCGGGCGTCTATTGTGGAAGGACGGCACTTCAGGCTGCTGCTATACATTCGGATACGACGGTGTTGAGCATCTTGCTTAGGCACGGGGCAGATGTAAATTCTCCGCCGGCCTTACGCGAAGGCAAAACTGCCCTGCAAACAGCAGTCGCCGCGGGTAACAGCGAAGGGGTCAGGATTCTTCTTGATGCAAATGCAGCTGTCAATACCAACCTAATTCGCACTGCAGGGGTCACAGCTCTCCACGAAGCTGTCCAAATCACAGACTCGACAATAAGGAATGAAATAGTCCACCTACTGCTGCGCGCAGGCGCAAATACTGAGGGTCTCGACTACACGCAATACGACCCTCTTCATGCCGCAGTAAGACAAGGAGACCTGGAACTGACAAGGAAGCTCCTGAAGAAGGGCGCAAACGCGAATGTAGGGTTTTGTGCGCAGGCAAGCCTAACCCCTCTGCAGCAAGCTTCGGCCCGAGGCGATGAAGACCTAGTCCGCATATTGATAGGCCACGGAGCAGATGTCAACGGCCCGCCTTGCCGATCTGGAGGACGTACAGCCTTACAGGCAGCAGTTGAAAACGGCCATGTGTCTACGGCGAAGATGCTATTGGAGTCTGGCGCGAAGATCAAGTCACACAGAGCTGAATCTCGCGGAATCTCAGTGATGGAAGCTGCCGCCGAGAAATGTGATCAAGAGCTAGTCCAGCTTTTCCTCGATAGAGAACCGGACATCATATCATCTGACCCCATCACGAAGAGTCAAGTTATAGGGCTAGCTCTGGACAGCTGGGAATGCGACGTGCCTTTGCTGGAGCTGCTGTTCAAGGGAGGAGCAGCCGTTAACAATAACCCGGGCACTCAGTCGAAGCCATTTCTTCAAATTGCAGTAGAAAGACACAGCTTTAGAAAGGTGCAGTGTCTGCTTTCCGCAGGGGCCAACGTAAACCACCGCTGGGAAAGCACCTCTCCTGGCAATGTCACGGCTCTTCAGGCCGCCGTTTCTAGGCGGAATATCGACATGGTCCAGTTACTGCTCGAAAGGGGCGCCGACGTTAATGCACCGGCAAACAAGCATGGAGGGAAGACTGCCCTGCAAACAGCAGTGTCAGAGAACGATCGAGTTATGACGGAGCTCCTGGTGCATCATGGGGCTGATGTCAACGGCATGCCCAGTCCAGTGAGAGGCCGGACTGCTCTCCAAGAGGCTGCAAGCTCGGGTTATGTGCAGCTCTCTGAATATCTGCTGGCTCATGGAGCCGATGCCAATGCTCCAGCAGCACATTTGGGTGGTGTCACAGCCTTGCAAGGGGCCGCGATACGCGGCAACATTCGCATTGTGATGATGCTACTTCAGGCCGGGGCAGATGTCAATGGAGCACCTGCCATTGAGCAGGGAGTAAATGCCATTGAGGCCGCTGCGGGGAATGGCCGGCTTGACACTTTGCATCTCCTGTTGAACTATCACCCGGATACCGAAGAGTTTGAGATCAAGAGAAAACGAGCGGCGAAACTGGCACAGGCAAATGGCCACCTGGCCATTGGGAAATTTCTGCTGGCTTATCGCAAACATCCTTGAAGAGCTCAATGATGCGATGTAGGTTACTGAAGGGAAAGTTCATGTTGTAGTTCTTATTCTCACAGATCGTTGTAGTATGAAAGTGTTCTAGCTTTTCTCCCAACGCACACTATTTATCTCTTGCATCATCTCTAACAATACATCCAAAACCTACCGATGGATACTTCCCGCCCTCTGCCTCGCCGATCCAAACCTCTGCTCGGAATAGCGACGCTCCAGCCCAAACCTCTCATTATCAGGTTGTCCCGAAAACCGCGGCGGACCCCCCAGACTGGCCAACACCGCACTATTATTCGCCGTCAAATCATCCATGACATCCAGCTCCTCGGCGCTGAACCACCTCGGCATAATCCACACCCGGAACGGAATCAACGCAATGATCAGAATCGGAAACCCAATCGCCGCAATCGTCTGCGAGATGGCCACCGTCGCGGCAACGCCCACCACCTGGCAGGCGATATACAGCGCGATCTTGCGGCGTCGTACAGTCATCAGCGGCTCATCGCGCTGGATGAAGCGGTTCTCGCGCACCAAGAAAATGAGTTTCTGGAGGATGCCGTTTGATTCGATGGAGCCCCAGCCGACGGTGAAGAAGACACCTGCGAAGACGGCGGCGGGCATCGTGTGCAGAACGACCAGCAGCGGGCGCGTCATGGTGCCGATGATGAGTAAGCCCATGAGGAAATGGGAGACGCGTTGCTCGACGACGGCGGTGGCGGTTACGATTGGGCGGCGGATTTCGGCACCCTCGCCTTCGGAGGTTGAGATGGTGCGGAGGGAGGTTTCGTAGATGGTTAGGGAGTCGGTGTGGACGGGGGCCTGGATATCGTTTAGCTACGACTTAAAGAAAGGGGGGCTGGCGTACCTGCGGCACTAGGCCGTTTGGCATGGGAATGCCGGTGATGCCTGCTAGGAAGGTGGTGCAGCCCAGGAGGAAGAAGTCCCAGTGAAATCCGGCGGGTTTCTCGAGGGGGAATTGTCTCGCCTGGGCGGTTAGGCTGCTTACATTCTTCTCTGGGTTAGTGGTGCGCTTGTTGAAGGGAAGTGAGGAGGCATACATGGTCATAGTAGAAGAGGAGCATCACGAGGAAGCCAAAGGGCAGTGCGGCGAAGACCCATTTGGCGTCGAGTTCCCAGAAATGGATGAGCCAGCCGCGTGGCTGGGTAAGGTAGAAGGCGCGGGTGATGGGGACGAACGAGACGTGGGTGGCTTTCAGGCTACCGGGTATATGCGAGAAGCCCACCCAGAAGATGGTCCCGATCTATCCATGTGAGTGATTGGATTTCTCGCATGCCGGGGATACATACCACATATGCGTAGTCGGCCAGTAAACCCCTGAACCACGGTTTCCAGACGGTACTAGAGCCAAGCCGTTCCAGGCCGTAGATGGTCAGAAAGTACAAGATGGCAATCACAGTGCTCATAAACCCGGCGGTGTTGCCGCGCGTGGTAAACTCGTTCACTAGTTCCTCGACTCCTTTGACTACTACTGTCAGTACCTTACGACTCCCATAGCGACTCCCATAGCCGCAGGCAAACTCACTGCAATAGATAATGCCAACATAAGCACCAAACGACTCGGACGAAAAGTCCGTCACGTAGCGCATATAATCACAGAGGTTGCAAACAGCCACGATCCAATGGAAGATGGCCGCCCAGATGGCCGTCCAGCACATGAAATTCGGGTAGATAGCCGGCTCATAGATAGTTACAATATCATAGATGGTATAGTTAAACAAAGAGATCAAACCCGTAATGCCCACGATGGTGAGTGGCTGCGCACCAAGGACACTAAAGATCATAGCCGCCAGCGCAGACGAGAAGAGCGCCTCATTGATGCCGTAGAATTCGCCGGTGCGGCGGTACATGTCTAGCGTGTATGCGATGGCAGGGAGCATACTACAGTTATCAGTAAACACCCTCTATTACTAGCAAGGAAGAACCGCACTTGACAAAGTACATCCGGATGGTACTCGCAACAACACGGTACGTCCATGCATCTGCGATATCACTCCAGTAGTAGGGCAGCCGACGGCGCACGTCGTGATACATGCCCCGGGAGAGGTTGAGCGCGCGGAGGGACTTCCATTTTTTGCGGCCTTCGCAGGTGTATGACAGCCAGGATTTCTCTCTTGTTAGAGGCTCGTCGGGGGACATGGTGGGCTAGTCCCAGATGATGCATGAGATGGGGTATATGGAAGTGCCAGAGTATGACTTGCAATGGGGAATTGGCTTAGAAGAGGAATTGGAGCGCTTTTATGCGATTCTATGTCTTGGGTTTCTTGGCCACATCATTAGAGGGTGATCGAACGTTCGTTGAAAATCTCCCGTGGGGAGGATTGGCTTTGGCTGGCAGAAGATGGAGAATGTATGAGGCGATATGGGTGACGTTGGCAGCTGAAGGTATTGAGACACGGCAGAAGTGTACCGCTGTCATTACTCTTTTTCTCTATCTTCATCTTAAATCTGCTCCTACGCATCTTCTCATGGACTTCACCAATGTTCATTTCATCCGTATACTCTGAGCCAATCAGGATGCCTGATGCCATGCGTTGAGGTTTCTGATCGATGAGTCAGCAGATTTTTCTGCGCGGGCAGATTTCTTAGCTACGGACGAATAGGGGAGGAGGGTATACATCCTCTTCATCATCTGTGTTTGATTCTCTTGACTCAATGGCATGGCTGTTCCGTTGGTATCGCAATTATGCACGCTGCTGGGCAACCAGCATTTTCCATCGCAGCTGGCTTCGATTTTGAGTAACCATAAAGCAATCGAGAGCTACGGGAGCAAAGATCATCTTGTGCTGCGTATAGAGGCGTCTATCTGTACAAAGGAGGCATCTCGTTCGCCTCCTGACTCGATCCTTCTGGTAATTACCTTCGAGTGATATGAGGCTATATACTATATTCTTACATTATTAGGGCTCCATTGATCTCAAGAATGGACAAGTGATTCCTTATTCCCAAATCACTCCGACTGCTACTCCACCTCGAGTATGTCCATCTCGATTGGGAAAATAAATATACTAATCTTCTAGGACGATGAAACGGACGAAGCAGTACCGTTGACCCCCAGATCAATTCAAAATGAGGAAGCGCATCCTCCCAAACGTCACAAGACGGTCAGCGGTTTGCGACCATCCCGACATCTTCAGCCCGCCGGGACAACAGTAGAGTCTCCAGAGCCGGACCATAGTGGCGATACTTCTTCCACAGAGGATCAAAGCACAGTCTCCAGGTCAGTCCGGCAGGTCCATAGTGACACCGGGTTTCCACAGCGTAGAAAAGCCGGACAAGATTACGCCGCGCCAGTCTTGGAGCCGACATCAACCGACAAGTTGATCGCGGGAATCTGGAGACAGATGTACTCGCCTGTGAAGCTGAGCCGAACTCCTGCAGTATGTTTCCAATTGGCTTGCATGCACTTTACTGATCGGATAGGTGGCTGAACCCACGATTAACATCCGCACTGGTGTCAGTGGAGATGTGAGTAGCGGTGCTCGACTTTATAGAACTTTGCTGACAAAAAAGGTCTTCCGAGCTGTCAACACTCTCTGCATGAAATATTACAATCAGAGTCAGTCGTCTCGCGCCTTGGAGATGATCGTCCAGGCCTACTGGATCGAATGCTATGAAGCGCGTATCGCTGTCATCCGGCTGGAGAACCCGCATTTATCCAGTACTGAAGCACGAATGACCGCACTGAAAGAGGCCTGTGCAGTCCTCAACTGGAAGGAGAAGGATCTCCGAAACAGAATGTATCTCAATCCCCCATTTCGTTTCCTACCTCGCACTGACGAAATAGGGCAATCTGGCGCGGCTACAAGGAAATCAAAGATGCAGGTGGCTGGCCCGCCCTGATCTTCGCTAGCTCCGGCGTCTACCGGTTCTGCAAATACCGCACCGGCTTCGGCGAGGGTTTCTCGACTCGTCTGCGCCATATCCGGTCGAGTCTGGAAGTTGCAGCGGACACCCTTCACCCCGAATGGAAGGATCTGTTGCACGTTATCGGCCAGGGGGATACCCGGCGCCAGTACCATGGCCACCCCCACGAGTGGGTGACTGTGACAGGAGAGCCAGCACTACCCCTGCACGCGACCTATGCGCACCTCAATCTGCCGAACGGGTTCCATTATCGTTTCATCGACGAGTATGTGCTTGATACAACAGTATTCGGGGAAGAAGATCCCCGTCGCGTACCCGATTTGGATCCGGATATCTGCCAGGTCTGCAAGTCAAAACAGGCGGACGACGTTGAACAGAACCAATGCTCGTGTTTTCCGGCGCTGTTCGGAGGCGTCAAGGGGCCTGCTCCTGTGCAGATATTCAGTACTGCCAGCGGGAAGAACAATGGCGTAGTGGCGCGTGTGGTGAGTTCACTTTCTAGTTTCTTAGGCACACAGCTGATGAAGCTGCAGAACTTTGACCGCGGGGCGGCAATCGGCGAATTCGTCGGGCTTATAACAAACGGTATCTCCGGCGTGGATGTCATGGTAGGTGGCACAAAGGGCAGGACGTACCAGATCTACCAGGGCGAGATGGGCAACTTCACGCGGTTTATCAACCATTCATGCCGTCCAAACAGCCAGTTCCAGCGATTCTACTGGCGTGGCCAGGAGCGGATCATTGTGGTTTCGAGAGGTGTAGTAGCGGGGAGAGAGATCACAGTGGACTACTCGGATCATTATTGGAAGCAGTTGAATAAGGTCTGCCTGTGTGGGGAGTTGTGCTGTCGATTCAAAGGGTCGAATCGGCAGTGACACTGTGGACCGAGTTAGAATCAATGATTTATTATAGTATCTATATATTATTCAGGCATTTAGGCTAATAGATAGATAAGATTAGAAATACTCAGAGTCAAAAGTGACAAATGAGCATTCTCGATGCTTATGTCGGATGGTCCTTCCTGTCCACTTCCGGCATTGCACGGAAATCGAGTCCACTCCAGAAACGCTTGAGATGTCATACTGGATGAGTCATATAGATCACTAACTGACAGAGTCCAGATATTCTCCAGGGAGATGACTGACAGCAGAGACTCAAGGCTATCGTATACGGGTGATGATTCGAGCTATACTGCGGGAATCCAGTCTGTGTTGCAGAGATCTCCCTCGCTCAATCATATCACAGACACTAAGTTCAGCCGATACGATAAGTACTCATGCTTTGCCAAGGCCTAGTTCGTCAGAAAGCCAATATCACTGCATGATGCCATCAGAGACCTTATTCAAGACGGGTACAGTACCTTGACTTTTGTCTTCTCAATAGCCTGGACCCCAGAGCCAGAACCTCTAACATACATCATTTCATCCCGGCAACAGCAAAGCCAGCGGACAGAGCATAACCCTAACCCTCAGCAAGCACGAGGCCTCCCACCAACCAGACGTCCACCCAGTACACCACGGAGAATCCGCACATACACAGCCCTCAAGTCCAAGTACCGATACCTCACACCAACACACCACCACGATTAACTAATCCACCAGTCCGACCCTCCCGCTGGAAACGCTGCTACCTAACAGCCGAACGCCACCGGCCTTCTCTCCCCGTAGATCGACTGATAGCTTAATTTACGTTTGACGTTTTACCTTAGCCTAAGTATCACACACCTGCAGCTAGGAGGGCCGTCCTCATCCCGGATTCGTCATTCAGAGGGATTGCCAGGGGTGAAATCGGCTATATAAGCTCTGTCATGAGATGGGCCGGAATCTGGATCTAGACTGACACTGGTACTGGTTAAGCTTAAGCTTATCTGAGTCTCTTTGTCCCGGGATATTGGAACTGGGACTGGTTCCTGCGTTGGATAACTTTGGATCTTGCTGCTGTATAATATATATTGATATGCAGGAGATGCAGTAGAGATGCCATGTTGCCACAATGATTCTATTCATGCATACTCCGTCTGTAGACACGTGACTGTTCTGGTATACATATGATATCCGAGTACTCCGCAATGTCTACTAACATAATTTTGGTCTTAAACGAAATTAGCGGACATTATGTTCTTCTATTTGATCTACCCCGCTCATAAGACTCTACGGAGTGGGTAATGTGTACAAAGTACCGTACCCTGCCTGGCCATAGGGCGTGACCATGTGAGTCAACGGCAGGGTTTGTCTATGAAATGACGTGGCTAGCGCAGACAGTCTCTTGTTGCGGTTGTTAGTGGTGAACAGCGGTGATTGAAACTGACAGACAATCCTTTCTGAATGGAGAGAATACGACGAGAACAAAGAGAAGAAATCTGCAGGATCGCCAGAGGACCGAGAGTGAACCAGGAGATCAGAACCTTTTGATAATGGGATCGGCAGGGCTGATGATGTAACCAAGGGACCGACGGATCAACCATTGTTTTGATTTATAAGACATAGAGCATGTCTGCCACCGATGCTATTACTTTTACAATATTATACTGCTCCATCTGTAGTAATCTGGATATATGAACCATAGTTCGGATCGGCCATTCGGAAATCCGGGTTTAACCATGACAGAAGCTGTCAATGATGCCATTCATCCTGACTAAGCATGGAGCAAGTGTTCGGGATAATGTCCGAAATCGGGGCGAATTGCCTTATTGGAGTAAGCCGTACAGCAGCTAATCCCAAAGCAGCCAAGGCCTAGCCCTTTCCATCAATCAGCGTGTCCAAAGAAGCAAAAAGGCGCGCCGAAGCCGAGCCGAGACATCCCGGTAGGGTTCAGCACTATGTACATGATTCTGTGCATAGCTTCGTCCACTGTAGAGACTAAGCCCTGTCATAGAGCTTCGATGGGTCTTTGTCGTGAGAGAGTGCTTGGCAGGGTCAATTGCTGTTTGTCATATGTCATAGACAGCTAGTACTAGTAGTAGTTGTTGTAGTTGTAGTAGTTGTAGTAGTTGTAGTAGTTGTAGTAGTTGTAGTAGTAGTAGAAGACCAGGGTATAAGCAACCCCTCACGAGAGGGGAAGCAGCGGTCTGTGATAGCTTACCACCAGCTTACATACTTGACTCATCTCACAGGGGTGTAGGGGTCTGTTCCTGTGAGGAGACAATCCCAGCGCCATGCTCATGCTCAAGTTCGTTTCCGGATCATCTGCCGTCTTATCCCGTCCTTGGGATTATCAGCACATTTTTCTTTTTTCCTTTCCACTACTACGGCGGATGGACCTCCACATCCGAC